AAGAAAGTTGAAAGCTGCTGAACTAGAGAAAATTCTCTTTATTAAAGTAAATAGTGAGACCATGTTTACAATATGCAAAACATATCTAGTTACTTAGAGGAGCCTGGTGGTTCCTCTCCCAATTTCTAAGTTAAGGTCACTAAACAGGGCTACCTCTAGTCCATATGGCACCTTCGTGTGAATTATTAAAAGGCACCCCCACCGTTTGCTGGAAAATTGTTGCGATATTGCTGGTTTTGTTAGATGACACTTTAGTACTCTGACCGACATTTGTCATAATAAATATACAACCTCATTATGTTCATAGCAATCCCTGGGACATGGAACCATTATGTAATGCCCTGTCTGCACAATGGCATGGAGCATTCACAAGTAGAAGAAAAAAAGAAAAGAAAGGAAAAGAAATCACCTCGGGCAACATTTGCCTGTAACTCAAAAAAAAAACCCAGATTCATTGCAGTAACTCCTGGAAAGTTCCTTTTGGGCAAGTTGGTGGTGTTGGAATGTTGTGGAGGCGGGTGAGGGGGCTGGGAGCTTCTTTCATTGATGGCTTCCATTATTGAGAACAAGAGCTTGGCTATTGCTCTTTATATGTCTTCAGTTAGAAAGAGCCTGCAAATTCCAATTACTTAGCTAAATGGAAAAGATTCTCTGTTTACAGAGAAAATACAAAGCTTGCTTCTTCCCCATCATTAAGCAGACCGAGTATACTTAGCAAAACTTTTCCACTTAGGTGTCCAAGTTGAGACTATCAGAGACTTTTGTTTGAAATCTAAACTTTTTAGAAACATTTTGTAGGAAAAACGACTCACAAGCCCTTTCAAAGAGAATCAAATAAATAGTTTGGGGGTTTCCATCTTGGAATTGGGATGTTTATTTAAGAAACTCTAATAAAGCCGTCTTTCAAGCCCACGAAAATTGCAGTCAGAATCAAGTGGCAACTAAAGGATTCAGGAAATAGCTATTGATTTGTGAGAGAGTGGGGGAAACAAAGTGCCAGGAAGGAAGCAACTTGAGGAGAAACTTTTGCTAATGGTTCTTATTTCCTCCAACTTTGAAAAAGCAGTCCTCCGCTTTCTCACTCCCAGATTAGCCCACTTAGGTGAGAGGTAGCACCCAGGGCATGACCAGGCTTTTCTGAGCAAAGGCATGGGGTGGGATGGGGCTGACACACAGGCTCAAGGCTTAGTGAAAAGGGCTTTTTCAATGAGGACAGGCAGGGCAATAAGGGAAAGTCCAGAGCCTCCTGCCCAAGGGATTGAGCAGAAACCAGGGAAGAATTGAAGGAGAAGAGCTGGCCAGGGTGATCTGATTGGAGAGAGAAATTTGTACCACGGAAGAATCCATGTGGATGCCAGAGATGGAGTCTTTCATAAGGTGCCCTGAGATGTTCCCTAAGCAGGGGCACAGCCATGAAAGAAGCTAAATTACTTTGGACACCAACCTGCCTTTTTATTTACATTTCAAAGTCTCCCTGGGCAAGAAATCAGAAAATAGTGAGGGAACCGTAATATCAGAAGTCAGACAAATGTGTAGTGATACGCTATGAAAGACAGCTGAAAATGAGATGCAGAGAAGGGGGCATGTGCAGAGTTATTTTGATCAAACTGACAAAGCTGGACCAGCAAATGTAGAAGTCCAGTGGTTCTGAAGTAGCCACACTGTAGATCAAAGACTCTGCACCAGAAAAAAAGTAGGTTCGCCAAATGTCACTGGTGACATTTCAAAAACACTTTCTACCTTATGCTCCTAATTATTATTTCTATCTATAATAATAAAAGCATAATATGCTAATTAGACTGGCTGTCCTTCCAGGTGAAGCTGGGGATGTGAGGGAAGCCTGGGTCCCAGGTGCCAGAGGGAAGCCAGTGCAGACAGCCAGGGGAAGTTAGGCCTACTCTTGCATGAATTTCGTGCATAGGGCCTCTAGTATGTGTGTGTATGTATATATAAAAGCCTCAGTGGCCTTTACTACTGGTCGACTGGCCCACCAATTGCTATGATGCATACTGACCACCAGGGGACAGATGCTTAATGTAGGAGCTGCCCCCTAGTGGTCAGTGTGCTCCCACAGCCAACTTCCCACGGTCCTGACCCCCCAGCTGGCCAGCCCCAATTGGCCCTGATTGGGACTGAGCAAGATGGTCCTGGTGGCCCCCATCACTGGCCAGGCCACAGGATCCCACTTGTGCACGAATTCATGCAGCTGGCCTCTAGTAGAATATAATCCTAAATCCAATGTCCAGGAAGTGAACATTCTTAGAATGCCATAGTTGCTTATTTTCCATGTTTTTTATATTTCAGTGAAATAGTGGAGAGAGATATATGTATGCTGTGTCCTTACTATTACTTAGGTTAACTCAGCAATGATATAAGCCCTGTGGAGGTTTAGGTGGACCCATAATCCTCGCCTGAGCTTTAGTTACTGTTGTGGTGCCTAGTTGACCAAGCAGCTGCATGGTCAGGGAGGTAGAAAAGGATCTTCCCAGGGAAGGACAGGCTATTAAGATGTGACCTTGCCAATCAGATGTGGCTCAAGAGTGACTTCAGTGACAACCAAGAAGATGAATAACTTTTCCAGTTGGGCATGGGGTGGATGGAGTTGGGTGGAAAGTAAGATGAAGCACCACAATCCTCCCCATATGTCTGCCTTGAAGGGTAATGAAAGATGAAGCTAGTGGCTCTCAACCTTGGCTGCACATGAGAATTGCCTGGAGCTTTTACAGATTCTGATACCCAGATCACACCCTGGGACATTCAAATCAGAATCTCAGGAGGGACCTGGCACCAGTGTTCGTTTTGCTTTGTTTAAGTCTTGCTTTAAGTCTTGTTTTGTTTAAATATTGTTTTGTTTACCCACCTCTGGAGGTGGTTCCTGTATGCAGCCAAGGTGGGAACACCTGGATTAAATGAAACACTGCAGGTGTCTGGCATACTTGGTGCCCAGTGAGTGTGAGCATCCTCCTGTTTGACTCACTTTCTGCTGCTCCCTCCCTCTCTTCTGAGCTTGCTCAGAATAGCATTGCTTCTGTCTTGGTCTCACCACACACGTGAGAGGTGACTGCCTCAGAGTTGGAGAATTCTTTTTATCTTCATGTTGAAAGAGACAGGACTCTCCATCCCCTTTTTATGTACCATCTCATCACTTACTTCATACTTTTATCTTCCTTCCAATATTACCCAGAACCTGTGGATTTAGTAAAGTTTCTAACTTCTGTGACCCTAGAGATTGATTTTAGCCAAATCTTCTCGAGCACTTCAAAAGGACCAGGGTGAAAATAAAATTTAAGGAATAAAGGAGGTTCCTAAAAATAGAACACAATTCATCCATTTCAGTTGAAGGTGCCTTCATGTTTTCCAAGCATTTTTGGACTCACAAGCATTTTTAATAAGCTTACTTATGAGTCTTGTTGAAAAATAAATAAAATACACTTGTTTTCATTAAAGGAAGAGATCTTTTTTCCATCTTAGTTGGTATTGTTGAAGGAGACAAAAAGGAGTCCAAAACCCAGCAAAGAATCACATAATTAGTGACATATTGGTCACAGATGTGCGGGGAGAGCTGCACTTTCTTCCTGTGATTGGTTCTTTAAATGCCCACAGATCACATCTGAAATTCAGATAACCTCCTTATAAATGGGGACAGTGAAAATCATGATATTTTATTTTTTATTTTTTAAATATATTTTATTGATATTTTACAGAGAGGAAGAGAGGGATAGAGAGTTAGAATCATCGATGAGAGAGAATCATGGATCAGCTGCCTCTCGCACATATCCCTACTGGGGAAGTGCCCGTACATGCCCTTGACTGGAATCGAACCTGGACCCTTCATTCCACAGGCCGACACTCTATCCACTGAGCCAAACAGGTTTCAACAAAATTATGATATTTTAAAAATCTTCATTTTTAAGATATTGTAGGTGTGTTTTTATAAAGAGCAGAATGACAAATGTTTATTTGCAAATTGTATTTTTAGAATGTAATGCCAGATGATGCTCACCTTTACTTATTATCCTCAATCCCTAGAGTTCAAGCAAATGCAGTACTTGAAAATAACAAGATTTCCTTCCCTTAACAATTCTCAAGAAGGTCAGGAAGGCAAAACTCAAAAGGCAGACTGGAACTCTCTACTAATTGCATTGCTTGCATCTGTAAGCCATTGAAACAAAGTAGGAGGAGTTTAGCCAAGTTGTACTCAGTGGCATCAAATGCTCAAGGACTTTAAGGAGAATATGGATAAGCCACTCAGTGAGCAGGATTAGGACTCACCTGGGAGGACATGGTGTTGACACTGGATGCCCTTGAAGGAAGTTGTGAGAGAGGAACATAATTCCATCCCCAAGACTCGGACTATAAGGATATAATGGAAGGAAAGGGCATATTGTAAAAGAAAAAGGATGAAGAAACACATCTGATGGACACAAAAATAATAATGACAAACTAAAGCTTTTATAAGACTTCTTGAGAATTTTTTACTCATGTTGATAAGAAAACTAGACAAGGCAATGACTCCTAGAGGGAGGACAGATGCCTTGATTCTCATGTTTAAATTACTGAGCTGACCAATTTCAAATGTCTTATAAATTGAAATTGCAAAAAAAAAAGGTGGAAAGTTGGCAAAAAAAAAAAAAAGTTACCAAAGTAAGTAACTGAATTATGACACAAATGGCCACGTTTCCTGACATAGGTAGAAGGTCATCTATTTGCATTTTTAGTTCGGTAATATGCATTGCAAGATGATTTAGTGATCTGATGATTGCAAAGACAGGTAGCTTTAAATCAGGAGTCCCAAAGCTGTTTGATGTGCTGTCAAGGACATGTCAGTTGTTGGATATGAATTGACTCTTGTCTGCCGCCTTGTGTGTTATTTGATTTTAGAAGTCCAAGACATCATACTCTTCATCTTTTAAAAACTAAGCCTATTAAAAAAAAAAAAAAAGACTTTAAGTTCCTTTCATTTTCAAAGTGCCTCATTTCTGTTGTTTCCCATTTCCTAGGAAAGTGACAATCTTGGAGGACCCTGACCAGAACATTCACCTGAAAAACCTGTCTCGCCATCAGGCAACCACGGAGGAAGAGGCGCTGAACCTGCTTTTCTTGGGAGACACCAACAGGATGATTGCAGAGGTAAGAGACTGTCCTTACCTCTGTGAGCACACTGGAGGAGATCAGGGATTTTAGAGACAGCAAGGACCTTACACACGATCCCATTGAACTCCAAGCTGCCGAGTAGGAAACCTAGATCCAGAGAAGCGAGAAGACTTGCCCAACCTCAACAGCTACTTAATGAGCAGGAACTAGCATCTAGACTCTTAATTTTTCTGTTTTCCAATTTCATACAAATTGGTTTGCAGCTAATGAAAGACAACTCATTAAATATCTTAATTATAGGAATTTTTGCATAATGTTTGCAATTTAAAAATACACAATTCATCCTTCCCAGTCATAAATTACCCATGTGTTGGTGTTTGTTTACATTTCCATATGTTTTCGTGCATTCAGTGGAGGATTACTTAGAAAGCATTTGGATTAATGCTCGGGACACAGGAAGTGCTCTCTGCATTGGCAGCTGTCGCTGGCAGATCTGGGAACACTGCCATGGTGTGTTCTATGAGTATGTTTCGGTGTAATGTTTGGGACATACTTATACTAGTTGTTGTTGATCTGACTTGCAAATCTAACTGGACACCTGCATTTTACCTGGGATCCCAAGGCAGGAGCCAGGATCGACCCACCGTGGTCAGGGGACCATGACCTCAACCAGTTACAGGCTGGAGGTGGAGGGTCACGAGGCTGTCACCCAGTGACCCTGTGGGGGAAGGAGTGGGTGGTAGTGGTGGTGGTTGGAGAACAGTTCCCCAAATGCGCACCTGACAGGTAGTCCTGGCAGTTTCCTTTTAAACCACGCTCCCAGCTTCTCTGTCTCTGATGACAAGCAGCAGGAAAGATAATAGGCTGAGAGGATAAGCATTCTGGGAAGTCTATCAACTGACCTTTCTTCCTGCCCCATTTTCACTCTCTTGAATGTGCTACCTGAGATACAGGACAGATAAATGGAAATCGAATGCAGATACTGAAAATATGGTGTGGTTTCTACAGTTCTGTGTCAATAGATTAAAATCTATAAATTAAGCTTATGTGCCACATATGATATGGACTTAAGGATGCTTAAACTATTACTTTCACTTCAGGAGAACTTTACAAAGATTTTTAAAATCTTTATTGTTGAAAGCATTACATATGTCCCCTTATTTTCTCCATTGACCCCTTCTATCCTGTACCTGCCCCAGGCTTCTCCACCCTATAGTCTGTGTCCATGGGCTATGTATATATGCATAAAAGTTCTTTGGTTGATCTCTTCCCACCCACCCCCACATTCCCTCTGAGATTTGACAGTCTGTTACCTTTATATAGTTTTTAATTTCAGAATATCTTGTTTTGCTTTACAAAACTGGCATTTGTGTTTTGCTTTAACATTTTGCCTGTGTGGTCATTTGTGTTGCTTTTATTGTCACAATAATTAAAGATTAAGGAATAAAGGCAGATTAAAAATTAAGGAGTCTGATGATGAACGATTTAGCATGCCCCACTGAAAATCCTGTTCCTTCATACACAGTTTAATAAACAGCAAACCAAGAGACCAGAGACATATGAAAAAGAGAATAAATGCTATTGGAAAACAAGTGGAGAAGCCTGTCCCTGCCTCAGTGCTAACTTCCTCCGGAAGCGACTCTCTCATCTAAGAGAAGTTGAGGCCTGTCCCCACGGCGTCCAATCATCTATAGTGGATTATTGGGTGGCTCTTGGCCCTTATTTACCATGATCTCTATAAGCTCAAAAGCTTGGCCTTTGCAATCTAGTTTGTCAACTTAGCTCATCTTTTCGCATTGGTATAAAGTTTTGAGGATCTTTATACAAGCTTATCTGTCATATTCCTTCATCTTACAAAATCCCCACAGTCTTTTCCTATTACTTACTGATGAGTATCTAATAAAAGGGTAATATGCTAATTAGACTGGATAGATCAAACATCATTCTGGATGTCCTTCCTGACAAAGCTGGGGCCCAGGAGGTACCTCTCAGGGTCCTGAGTGCCTGCAGCCAGCCAGAGGGAGGGAAGTCCAGGTCTCAGGTGTGGGGGCCAAGGCAGAAGCAGTTAGGAGCAATCAGGCAGGCAGGTGAGCAGTTAGGAGCCAGCGGTCCTGGATTATGAGAGGGTGCAGGCCGGGCTGAAGGACCCACCCTCCCCATGCATGTATTTCATGCACCAAGCTTCTAGTATTATTATAAATACACTGTAAGCGAAGAAGTCCAATTCAAATAGTGCTGGTATGCATTATGTTTTTAATGTATTCCATTTTCCAGTGGAAAGCCTAATTGTTTGAAACCAAACCTAATAGATGTGGGATGTTTCTGGGCTTGCTTTTATTTTTTTTCTTTGGTAAGAATAGCTACGATGTTATACTGAGAACCTACTCAAAGATTTGGCCTTGTTGTAAACACTGTATATTTATATTATTTCTGATTCTTAGTGTATAGAGGAAACTGAGGCTAAGGGTGTCAGAACACTGGCTGAGCATTCAGGTCTGACTGACCCAGAGCCATGTTCTTTCCTTTTTGCCTCATTCCACAAGTGCCATGACCACATTCACGTGTCAAATTATTCAAGTGAGGGTATATTTCTGAATTGTTTAAAAGGATAGCAAGTATTTAGCACTTCAGTTTAATCTCTTGAATTCATTGAAAACAAATACATAAAAATATAAATGAAAAAGAACTGGAAATACTTTTATTATTCTGCCTCTAAAGAAGCATGTTCTAGATTAAACCTCATGTCAGAATGTAATTTGACAGCACAGAACAAGCTTAACAATATATAAAAAAGCACTATTCTTTTTTTTTTCTTCTCAAAAATAAGCTCCCCAAATTCCCATTTACACAGAGACATACAGAAGTTGCCATGGTAACCAGAAAACATTTGCAAAACAAAGTCTGCTAATGTGGGACACCAGTGAAGTGCTCTTCCCTTGCAAGTTCTCTCTCAAAGCCAGCATTTTAAGGAAAAATGATCAGGATTAGCCTCATCCTCTTCTTACTCAGAACTCTTAAGTAATTTTTGTAAGTCTACCAATGTTTTGAATAAGACCTGATTATATCCTTAGGGTAAAAAAATTTTAAGTTGAATTGCTGGGCCAAAGAGAATAAATACATTAGAAGCTGAACTGTGTGTGGCCCAGTGTCAAAGCCCACCAGTAGCAAGTATGACTTTGTTATTGGAGAAGTTGGGGTGTCCTTTCTCCACTGGGTGCTGGGGGTGGTGTCTTTACAATACCTCCAGGAAGAGAATTTTCTGAGACTCGCACAGCAGGATGAGAGACTTTTATTTGCGTGGGATTACACCCCTGGGTTTCCAAAGTCCTGTTCCAGTCCTAGCAGGAGTGTAGCTGGGTTTCAGTAGAGCTAAGAGCAAAGCTAGTGTCCAGAGCTTCCATCCCATGATGCAGCCGAGTCCAGTTAGCATCAGGCTAGCTGCAGTCCATCAGTCCAGTGAATGCCAGGTAGCAGGAGCTAGAGGGCCCCTCCAGCCAGGAGTCAAGTGCAATTGGCCAAGAGAGCAAACTTCTTTGTTCAAGGGATTAAACATCCCAAATTTTGGACCCTTGCAGTGGCCACACCTATTCTGGCCAATGACTTGTTCCCACGAGTGACTGACAGTCTAGTACCTTCCCTACAACACTCAGCTCACTGTGCATGCACCCATCCTCCTCCCTGTCCAATCCCTTCTCCCTGCGACCTGCAGGGGACAGACCTGTGGTTCCCTGGGGAGTGTAAAGCTGCAGCTTTCTGGCAAAGCTGCCCAAATGACTTGTCTATAATTTTTGGCTTTCCCGCTACTAATAACTAGGTTAATCACAACGGCATGCACCTGATACTTTTTGTCTTAGTTAAATGTTTCTATCAATCAAGTCTAAATGAGCAAGGCAGTCCTAGGACCATTTGCTTGACCCTGCCCATACTCGAAGCATCTCTCCCCAAGCATGGTCAGAGGATAACTTGCAATAGAGTTTCCTGTCATCGGCAAAAGACAGGTTGCTGGGATCCTACTTCTAACCAATGGATTCAGAATCTCTGCAGCAGAGCCCAGGAATGCACATTTTAGCATGTTTGTTTGCTCAGGCGACAGTTGGGGACAGTTTGTGATTTTCCATTAAGAATCTGTTGAAAAGTTTGTGAGCAGGTCTATAGTCTGCATCCTTGCCAACAGCATCCTTGCCAACACCACTAAATTTGAAAAATTGGGCAATTTGGTATGCCGATATATATATATATATATATATATATATATATATATATATATATATATATGTGTGTGTGTGTGTGTGTGTGTGTGTGTGTGTGTGTGTGTGTGTGTTTCTAATTGTGTTTTGATTACTGAATTCTTTTCTATCTTAATTACCACTTGCATTCCTGTCCTTGCTCATGTCTTCTACCTGCCTCTCCCTGGAGTGTCAGAAAAGGTCCAGTTGATGACTCTGTGAGCCTGGGATTCGGTCTTGTTCACCTGACAACCTCCATTCCTAAAACAGAGCCTTATGCACAGCAGGGCTCAGTGAGTGATTATTGAGAGAATAGACATGAAGAGTAACCGTTTGTCTTTGTCGTATATTTTGAATCCTCCCTATAGAAATAGCCTGCATTGATAAAAGTGCCATTTAAATGTCCATTTTAAGGAGTGATAATGTAGCTCAAAGTGAATCATGAGGCTAACATGAACCTTCTCATATCCAAGCCAGTTTGGAGAATGGACTAGTGTCCTTTCCACCAAAACTTCACAGCAAACACTTTTTCCATTTTATAAATTTTAGTTTACTTTTATGTTCTTCAATGCTTAGATCAGTCTTTTCATTTTATGGTTTCTGCTTTGGGTATCATGCTTAGAAGTGCACCAGCTCACTTACTAGGAAGTGTTGAGTTATTTTGGATTGAAGTGTGATGCCCCGTTGCATCCACTTCATTGTTTCCATGGTAACCTGGACATGGATGGTTGGTTGGTCGTCATCAGCTTGGAGTGAATTTTTCAGAAGTTTCTGGAATGTGGGGGTTTTACCTGAATCATGAAGAAAGAA